AATAGAAAGTATAAAACTGGTGTTATTTCTTCCATAAACATTTGATATAATTTTCCAATAAAACCATGTGGTCCTGGGGTTCTCTTTAACAGAAGGTTTTCACTATGAGTCCTATTCCTTTATTAAATATAAATCTATTCAAGTTTACAATTTCTTCTTTAATGTTTTTGGTTGTTCGTGACTTTCAAAGAATTTGTCTATTTCATATAAATTGCTAAATTTATATGCATAGAGTTATTCATAGCATGCCTTCATTACACTATTTTTAAGTAGCTGTAGAATCTTCAGTGTTAGCTCCTCTTTTATTCCTGATATTGTTAATTCGTATCTGCTTTCTTTCTTCCTTAATCAATAAGACTAGAATTTTGTCAATTTGATTTGCCTTTTCAAGAAACCAGCTTTTGGTTTTAATAATTTACTGTATTTTTTCATTTTTAATTCCATTAAATGCCTTAACATACAGGGTCTGGCACAAATAATGCCCTTCTTATTACAAAATCATAAGCATTTTTTGTAACAATATCACATTGAAGCACACCATATGACATTTTAGGTGAAATGTTTGAATTAGAACTATAAATTGTTACACCTATATTATTAGCCTACCAACCAAACTCAAGCAGGCCTTACTTCTCTGCTGAACCCTATGTATTATTTGTGTACTGCATGACTTAGCTTTAATGTGTTCTTTTTTCTACTTGATTTAAATCAGGAGTGTCAAACCCATTTTCACTGGGGGCCACACCAGCCTCATGGTTGCCTTCAAAGGAACGAATACAACTTTAGGACTGTATAAATGTAACTACTCCTTAAGTAAGGGCAAGGAGCTCAGTGCTGCTGTGGGATAAAACAAAGTGGAGGGCCGGATTCGGCCCACAGGCCTTCTGTTTGCCACCTGTGATTTAGATGGATCATTAAATTACTGGTTTAAGACCTTTCTTCTTTCCTAATAAACACTTTAGATCAATTAATCTCTTTCCGAGCACTGCATTAGCTGTAATACACAAATTTTAGTATTACATTTTCACTTTAATTCATTTAAAAAGGGGTGGGCTGGGATGGGAGAAATAAACAGAAAACTGTACTTGAAAGATAACTAAATAAATTTTTTTTAAAAATGGCTATTTTGAAGTATGCTTTATTTAAATATGTGTAATTTGGTTTCCAAATAATTGTGCATTTCTCAGGCTGTGGCTTAATTTCATTTTAGTCAAAGGATATATTTTAAATAATTTCAATTGTTTTAAAATTCTTAAGGGTTTGTTTTTGACCCCAGTAGTGCCTGGCCAATCCATATCAAAACCTGAAAAATTCAATAGTACTAATCTTTTCTTTACTCAACATTTTTATAATTTATTCATCATTTATTCTTTCATTAATTTTGATTTTAATACATTATATTAAATTATCATTTATCTCGATTAGTAGACATCATAGCCTACTTGGGCTGCCACAACAAAGTGCCAAATACCAGTTGGTTTAAAAAACAGAAGTTTATTTTCTCACGGTTTTGGAAGATGGAAGTTCATGACAATCATCTAGCCAATGACATGGCCAAATAACTGTCTTTTCCCATTTCTTCCTTCTTCTTGTCCAGGAAGATGTACAGAACTTCAACAGTCATTTTGTGACCATCAAATTACAGTCATTAGGCAAATACCAAGGAAATTCCTTACTCCTCAACTTTAAAAGTCTTAGAAACTATGTAGTTTATGGGAAAAAAAAAACAGTATTGAAGAAACTACGCCATAGCTATCTACCTCCTTTATTTTCTGAAGTTACCTAAGAAAACATCTGTTTCCTTGCACCCCAATACATTCCTAACTCTATCCTCCTCTGGAGGAGAATTTTCTGATGCTGATATCAAGAACATGTTGTGTTGGCTCTGCCTACACGTCTCAGAGGCTCTCCTACCCTGACCATTGTCACCAACTGCATGAAACTGAAACCACTGATTCTGGATAGCTGTACACTGACCCTTGATAGCCATTCCCAAGTACAGTAATCAACACAAGACCAGCATCCCAAATGCCAATTCTGTCCCTAACCTTGAAATTGGCTGGCTTCACTAAGAATGTCCTTAAAACATTATTTAAAATGCAGGCCCATCTTCAGTGATTCCCACCAAGCTGTCTGGAGTGAAGCCCAGAATCAATTACTCCTCTGCGTAATTCTAACAATTAGCTAGTTTTAGTGTATTGTGATAGTGCCTGAACTTGACTGGAGAGCCCCATTTGGCAAATTAATGTTACAGAATTTTACCATCTCTCACATCCCTACCATTTACAAAATGCAGCTCCATCCAAATGCAACCATGCTTTTGCTCCATTATTAATCTTCATGGTGCTATTTTCATCCCAAAAGTTGAGATATTCCCTCAATCTTCACTCTGTTACTTCCTGCACACTCACCTTCAAAGAACACACCATGTGACCTTATCCCAATACTAGCTTTTTTCATAAGATCACTTCCTTTGTACCTTTTCCCAAGGGCTGACTTCTTTTTCCAGTGCTCCATAAAGCAGAAGGCCTGAAATTAAAGTTCACATTCCTCTAAATCCCCACTGTTGCTTCTACGCAATGAATTAGACTTCCATGTGCAAAAACGTCTCGGCTCATGATATCCACCTTGTCATCCTGTATTATCCACAAAGGTCCACTTTCCAAAGTTCTCTTCTATAGCCCCGAACCTTGTAATTTCATATCAATTTAATAATATCTGTGTGAAATGTCTAATAATTTAGTTTTAAAACACATGCCTCATCTTTGTAAACTTTATTTTCACACCATCTTAAAAACAATATGGTTGTAACATTACCTAGAACTACTATCTTAGAAATTTTAGTCTCTAATAGTTTCCTATTTGATCACAACTTTTCTGTGAGTGCCCAGCTTTCTGATGTTCTCACTCCCACTGCTATTGCTTTTTAAGTGCTTGCTAAAAGATTTGGCATTTGTCTTTTGTAATTTATTATGGTTCATCGACACTGGCCTTTGACCCAGTATATGTATCATGGAAAATTAGGGAGATGGCTTTGGTTCCCAGGACCAAGGACAGAGAGGAAGTTCATGTCTGGAATAACAGTAGAGTTTTATTACTGGTGATCTCAATTCCCAAACACAAACCCAGCATGTTCCTGTGTAAATTTGCAGTGCAAAGAATTTCAATGACAGCAGGCAAATCCTACATTTTTAACAGTTAGGACAGTCCAGCTAATTGTTCATTTCATTGCCTAACTCACCTTCAAGGGTGATTAGCTAGACTGGCCCATAATTAGGACTATTTAGGGATCACTTTGTTTGGCTGACTCCAATTTCTTTGACAAACTATGAAACAGCATACAAAGAACTGATGAAGTGACCAAGGTCAGGAACTAGATGTCTCATTGAGAATCAAGTGTAGGCTGGCCGTGCTCTGGACCCAGGACTACCATGCAGGGTAACAGAAGAAGGAATATTAGGGGAGATCTGAACAGCAGAGCAGTCAATAAAATTTGCTTTACCTGGAGTTAACCGTGTGTCCTATACTGACATATTGCATCCTTTCTAATAAGTCTAATAAATGTTAACTTCTTTTAATGAAAAGGCAATGAAGTTTATATTTCAATTATTTACTTCTAGAAATGGGTAAGAATTACACTCAGTCCCTTTCAATTTACCTCCACTTCAATTTATCTGTATTCAGTTGACCATATGGTAATCTCTTACCTAAGATATGCTGAGCGCAAATACTGCAATGATGCAGAGAACTTTATGTGTTCCAGTGTCAAAGGGGCTGTCACAGCTCCTTTAAAGACCTGTGTCTTAGTCTGGGTGGTACACACTTGTAAGCTCTTACAATATGAGTAGAAGTGCTGTGTAAAATCCACGCCCAATACAGACACCCTTTGTCAAGGTTCCTCAATCTCCCTTAAGTAGACCAATGCATCTATGCTGTTCTTTCTTTTCTCTTTATTTTTATTGTTGAAAAATTTTATTTTTCTCTTTATTTTATACTATTACAGATGTCCCATTTTCCCTCCCTTTGCCCACCCCTCCCTGCTTTCCCTCACGCCCCGCCCCCGGCCATGATCACAGTGTTGTCCGTGTCTATGAGCTATGAGTACATGCTCCTTCTCATATATGAGTATATAATCCCCTCACCTTCTTTCACCCAGTCCACCTCCCCTCTGTCTATTTTGGATGTAAGTTTACTTTACACATTAGATTACATGTTTAAGTGAGATCATATGGTATTTGTCTTTCATTGATTGGCTTATTTCACATTTACAATAACCATATCTCTATACCAAATTAGAACTTGGAATCCTTTCTAAAAAATAACTGTCTTTATTCTGATAAATCATACTATAGCATAATAAAATTTATAAAGGAGAAAAAATCTGTCACCTACCTGATGTATATTTAATTCTTCATTGATTATTAGGCTACATTAACGTTGCTTAATTAAATTAAATTTTAACACTTAACTTCTCTACTGATAACAATGTAAGTGGGGGATTGAATATTATTCAGTTAATATAATTATGGAACCAATATGGACCATTTTTATATCTGATATTTGTGGTTTATTGATGTAGTTGTTTCAGTCTAAATAGAAAATAGATTATAACTAATATCTCCGTTTGTGTCTCTCAATGGAATAATCACATTAACTCACAAGAATTCAGTTTCAAGTCTACAGAAGCCAGTTTTTTCTCAGTTTGCTAGAAGGCATAGATTTCTCTTGGTTAGATTGAACTAGGCAGTGAAAACATTGCTATAAGGTTTCAAATCTGAAACTAAATTATCCCTTTCAACTCTTTATAGCATCAGTCAGTGAAAAATATAGCCTATATTCACTCTAGCACAGATATAGTCATTGTTATACAATGTATTAGACAGTGGAAAACAGGACACTCTAAAACATCAGGCAAAAATAAGGAGTGGATCAAAGTCATTACAAGTTTAAGCTGCACTGAATTTATTGTACCTTAGAATCAAAGCAAGAAAAGTTCTTACCATTTGCAGGCAAACAGCCTGAACTGAAAGATACTTCATCAGTAGCTATGGCTTTGTCCCATTTCTGAGTTGAAATCATTCGACCTTGAAAAACAACCTGCACAGGAAAAACAAAACAAATAAAAATATAAAGCAAAGAACATCACTGCCACACAACCTGAAGGTAGAGAGCCTACGTACGAATAAAAAAACATGCCACTTCTAGAAGCACGTGGGTTACTATGCCGATTCCAAGTGGAAAGAGACCAAAGCATATATGCTCCAGGGCAGGCAAATGTACAGTCATATCTCTACCTCACATGTCTAGCATGGGTTAGGTAACATGTTCATGAAGAGACAACATTCACCTGACTTCTACCCTATAATCATCTTCTGTGTTTGGTTCTGCATGTTCACGCTATTTAGTATTTACCAGCTTTTGCACCCAGCTCCACTTTGGACTCTGGTTCTTGGCATTTCAAAACTTTGCCCTTTTTCTACCTCTGGTTTTCGGTATTAACTCACAGTCTTGCCTTGGACATCTTTGTGCTGTCCTCCGGCACATTTTCTGTCATGATCCAAACATAGCTCGGGACACTGACCAGAAGTGGTTGCTCCATGACTTATTGTGAGAATGACTAAATGTTATATTCTGAGGTGCAGCCAGCCCAAGTCTGCACCAAGAGAACATACATAGGTATAATAAATCTGAGAAACTTGAAAGAAAATGCTCTCCAGTTTCTTAATTACTTAAATCAATAGAAAATGGTTGTGCTGATAAAGAGCATTATCCCATGCTTACTATAAATACCACTGATGTTTGAGGCTTAATTCATGGATACATTAACTTTGTGTTCATTGTTTGGCTTTGTTTTAATACTAACATTGTATTATTTTTAAAAGCCCTGCCTTTTAGCTGAATGATTGGTCTGCATGCAGTCAACCCTGGCACATCATTTATCTCTGCTGCATCCTCTTTTGTTCTGGTACAAGCTGATGCACTGAGACATTTCCCATTAAACCAGGGACGACCTACTAGTCTGTTAAAAATACCATGAGAAATATCCATAACCTATTGAATGCAACTTGTCGATACGTGGCCCTAAGAAAGCCATCTTTTCTTCACATAAAACAGAAGAACTCTGTGACCAGTTATAAAGCAAGGCCGTGCTGGAAAAGTAGTGATGTGATGGCTTTTATATGAAGGCAGAACAGCAGAGTGATTGAAGTACATATTTGGAGCCTGACTACTTGGGTTCAGGTCCCAGGTACACCACTTAATAGCAACATGACCTTGGAGATGTTACTGAATATCTCTATATCTCAGTTTCTTTTTCTTTGTAAAAGGGTGCTGACAAAAATAATGTTATTACCCATGTGCTATGGCTTATACAAGAATAAATGTGTTATTACATGTACAATATCACTGGACACATCATTGGCATTTAAATGTCAGCTATTATAGCATACATTTATTAAAATATTTAAGCTATTATATAAATAATGTGCTTACAAAAAAATCTACTCTCTACAGTTAACATTTTTTCTCGAAGGCTTTTTCATACAGATACACTCCCCAGTTCTTGTTGAGCTCAGCTCATGCACACACCCGTAGAAGCCATGCAAAAGGAGACAAGTAGAAATAAACATTACAAACCATCAGACTCTTCTATCTTTCTCTACACTCTCCCCAAATCTAATAATCCTCAGGATTTCAACTGTCACCCAGGTTGATGAAACACAAATTTACATCCCAAAGGTCAACTTCTCTCCTGGGCTCTCCTCCCATGTCTCCACACCTGTTGGGCATTTTCAGTCAGATGGTGTGAAGACACTTTAAATTCATAATTTCTTTCCCCTGAACTGGGTCTGTCATCAGACCCCCATTCTCTGACAGTGGTACCAGGACACTGCTGCTCTTTAATGCTCAAAACTTCAGACTGACCTTTGGAAGCACTTTCTCCTCCAGGCTCATGTCCAATCAGTCAAGACCCATTAAGTCCTCTCTTCTGTCCTGTCTATTCCCCATCCTCTATCTTCACACGGGACCTCATAAAGTAACTTTAGTTTAACTTCTTGCCTTCATGCTTCTTTTCATTACAGCCCATAACACATATAACATAGTGACTGATTTAACTAAATTATTGTTAACTTGGTATAACTGAAGAAAAGTTAGTGTGAAAATTGGTTGCCAGGTGAGCTTCCTCATCCAGCAAGAAAAAATGTTTTCCTTAGGGAAAGAACCATTTCTCTAAGTGTAGGGAAATTTACTAAAGGGTCTTTGTGGCTTTGAAACACAGGGTTCATTAGCCATCCCTAGATCATCTAGTTAAACATATTCCCACTAAAAGATTTTCCAGGGACATTGATTGGGATCCTGAAAAGAGGGATGAGTTGAATCCCATCAGGAAGTGGAACCCCAAGATGATTTCAAAAGCCAGGCCTTAAGGTCAGAGGCTTGTTGCTGTATAGTAGTCATGTTTCTCAGGAAGGCGACATCTAACATTCCTTGTTTTCTCCAAAACTTGAGCAAAGGATTTTTTTTCCCAAACATCCACCTCATTTTAACAATGTTAGGGAAAATAATAAGAGAGTTAAAAAGTGGCAACATAAAGCAAATACAACACACGTAATGGAGTCAGGTATGACCTACGTACTGTCACCCAAGAGCACACACGAGACAAAGGTCTTTCACCCCAAACTAAGTGGAGGTGGCCTTCACAGGGAGAGAAGGGGTCAGCACTTAAGCTGCTTAATTTAAATCTTAGATGAAAATTTGACAGTAATGGTAAGTAATGGACAGGAACCCACTTGGTTTATATTAGTAACTACATGAACAGAAACTCTTATAAGGATATCTATTGTATAAAGTTTTCTTAATTAGTAGTGTATATTCAATATTATTTCCCAAGTAAACATGTAAAAACCAAAAAGATGACTAATCTTTTCCCATCATGTGTTTAATAGTAAATATTCTTGAATTAAAAGGTAAAATGGCTTAGATTATAATTTTGAAAAGTTTGAGAATAGAATTTTTAAAATTAAGATAATAATGAATATTGATTTATATATAAATAACTTATCTTTTTTCTGTATTTTGGAATAGCAGGCTGCTGAAAATTTTCTAGCATCCCTAAATGAAACATCAAAGACATGACAAGTAAATAATAGCGTATTGAAAGTACCTCTACATCTTTTTAAAAATTTAGGCACTGACTTCATTTAGCTTAAGAATTTAAACATTCAACTTGAAACCCCTAGCGAGTGATATACTTAGTAATATAGTATTCACTCATTTCTACCCATAAAACCAACACGTGGGCTCCCTTCGAGAACAGAAATAAATGAACGTTTTATTTGAATTTGGGACTAAATTTCTGCTATGTGTTGGGACTGTTTTATTCTTTGCCTCCACAAACATTTTATGACAATAGTACAATTAGTTGCTTATATCTGTAATTTTGAAAAATGTGATCGAAGCTCATCAGCATCAGGCAATGCATAGTAATGTTGTTTTACCCAACACTGTAGACAAAAGAATATTTAATGAGCATCATGTAACAGATTTGACCAAATCAGAGGGTTGGGTTACTTCTTTCCTATATCTCACAAGTCCTTACAATGCTTTAACATGGCAAGAAATTATAATAGCTCTGTGCCTAAATGATTGAGATCTGAAATCAAACTATACCAGGTCCTAACCTGGTTGAACTTCAGTAGGTTTTTCCTCTTTCTATAGCTCATAATCCTCATGGGAACAGTGGAGTAAATTAGAGCTTTACTGCAGAGGAATGAGATAAGTTAGTTAGTATTCACAATATAAGACAAATACACAATGGATGAAATGCAGTGCCTTACATATAGTAAGCACTCCATAAATGGTAGCTGTTATTATTCCTTAAGTATCTTCGTGAACTTACTGAGATGCAGCTGTCTTTGTTGACTAAATGCACACACATCATTGTTTCTTTATGGAGTAGTATTTCCTTAGAAATCAACATGCTTTCATTTTATTAGGGGATGGACCCAGTACTTTACAGATGACAGTGACAAAGCCCTCACAAGCCAGAGGCTTTCTCAAAAGCTAATGCTAAGCTAGGGTCCAGCTGGGACTAAAGCCTCCTATCTGGATATTTCTAAAGGAAGCATGAACAAGCTTTACAATGATCAGAATGCAGCATGGAATGGAAATTTTAAAAAACAGAATAATTGTCAGAGGCTAATAAGTTGATGAGGCAGCAGAAATTGTCTGGAGACACTGATTACAAGATGCCCTCAAATAAGCCTCTCACTAAATCTTTTCAGGAATGAGCTACTGGATGGTGACAGACAGTTATCACAAGCACAGCACATCTCTGTGGCCCAGCTAAACAAAAACAAATGAACATCTGCTCAATTGCTGATGGGATAGAATTGATGCTTTAGATGAAGGCATCCCCACAAGTCTTAAAGATTGATACAGCCAAAGATCCCAAAAGAGTCGTATTGTTTTCGAATTTTTAAAAAGCCTTTAAGGTACAAGTACTGTTTTCACATCAGCAATAAAGTGTTTGGGGAAACAAATTAATACGCTGCACATGTGTCTGCTTTGGATGAAACCACTGCGGCATTTTAAAACACTCAAATGAATAACCCTGCCACCTCAGCTACTTCTGAATTGCACCGGAGATGATATATTTGGGAGTCTTAAGTTTTACATTTAGCTAGTACATGTGCTTAAATTCATCCCACACAATGTGCCACTTGGGAAGAGACAGCCAAGAAACACAAGGAAGTTATTTTAAAAGGTTTGCACTACAATATCCAGCAGGTTTCAGCCCTGCCCTATACCAGACTCTGCTTTTCTAGTGGTAAAGACCATAACCTAAAGGTACAGACATGAGAAGATAGTTTGACTTTTGTTAAGCATGCACTTTGTGTTAAAGTTGGAAAAGGTGTGTAAGTGCTGATAAAGTTTGTAAGTACACAAGATTCCCATCTCAGTCACTAAAGTTTATACTTCTGTGCACACAGAAGGGACTTCAGCAGGTTCCCCCTTCAGCATCCAGTCAATGTGACTCAGCAGCCTCCCATACACTTTGGCTCTGTGTTGCTGCTTTTATTGTTACTGGAAAAAGA